TCCTGCTGTCAGATTTTAAAATGTTGCTCTTCACAGATGAAAATGCATATGGAAAACTCCCCAGAAACTGTAAAGGAGGAAATTCTCAAGAACTATTTCTAAAACCACACTTCTCTCTCCAAGAAATTTTCAAAACTTGCATTTTAATATATTGATTTCAACTTTTTCCAACATTTAAATCAACATAGTTTTTTTTTTAAAAAAAAACTTAACAGAATTTCACATCAGTACTGTTTTTTCAAACATAGGACATGAAACAAAACATCTTAAGAAAGAAAATTGGTTGATTCCAACTTTAGAAATAAGGCAAGTCTTCTACCCAAGGGTTTCACACAACAATTAGAAATATTACAACTGCAGGATATTTGGAGGCAACATAAGGGCTCCACTAGAGACTACACTTTCTTGTCGGGAAGACATGGCACATGGTCGCGAATCGATATGGCATGGGCATCCAAATCTTTGAATCTAAAAATCAAAAAAGTAGACATATTGGCTAGAACCTTTTCGGACCATTGTGCAATGGAATTTATAATTAAAGGGAAAGAATTTGTTTACAGATGGAGACTAAAAGATCATCTGCTAAAAAGAGAGAATGATATTGAAAAGAACAGGAAACTACTAAAAGAATATTTGGATTTGAATAAAGGGGAGGAGACTTCCAAAAGCACACAATGGGAAGCAATGAAGGCTGTCATGAGGGGTTACCTCATACAGCAAGAGACAGTAAATAGGAAAAAAAGAAATAAAGAACTTAAGGAAATCATAGAAAAACTAAACGAAAACGAAAACTTATTAAAACAAAACCCCAAAGACAAAAAAAGAACGCTTATCATTAACGCATTACGAAAACAGTTACAAATATCACAAAATGAAAACTTAGAGAAACAAATGAAGTTTGTAAGGGCAAATTATTTTCAAAACGCAAATAAAGCCGGTAAATGGTTGGCAAATAAAATTAAAAAACAAAAACAAAAACACTTGATAACTAAGATACAGGTCAGAGACAAAACATACACAGAGGATAGCAACATTGCTAACGAATTCATCAAATTTTACAGAAATCTATACAAAAGAACAGAAGTTAGGAAGGAGAAAATAACAAAGTATTTGTGTGACTTAAATATCGGAAAATTAACAGACAAGCAAAGAGGAATACTAAATGGGACTATTTCAATGCATGAAATTGATGCAGCCATTAAAAAACTCAAAATTAACAAGGCACCAGGGCCAGACGGCTTTACTGCCATATTTTACAAAACATTCAGAAACGAAATAAGCCCCCTACTTCAAGACATAGTGAATATCATATTAGAAAAAGGAATAGTTCCCAAATCTTGGGAAAAAGCGAACATAACATTAATACATAAAGAAGGAACCGAAACAACAGAAATTAAAAATTATCGCCCAATTTCTCTTCTAAATACCGACTACAAAATATTCACAATAATCATGGCTGAAAGATTAAAAGAATTTCTAAAAGATTGGATATCCAAAGAACAATCAGGGTTTTTACCAGGCAGACAAATTAAAGACAACACCAGAACAATAATTAACATAATTGAGTATTACGAAAAACACAATGAAAAAAAACTAGCTCTGCTCTTTGTCGATGCCGAAAAGGCCTTTGACAAGGTAAATTGGGACTATCTGAAATTACTAGTTAAAGAATTAGATATGGGATATCATTTCCAAAATGTAATTGATGCAATATATAAAAACCAAGAGGCCTCCTTGATAATTAATGGGCAAGAAATCAGAAAACCAATAAAAATCTCCCAGGGCACACGACAAGGATGCCCTCTTTCACCGCTACTTTTTATTTTAGTCATGGAAACATTAATAAGAAACATAAACGAAGATACAAATCTTAAAGGATTAAAAATTTTAAGACAACAATATAAGCTAAAAACTTATGCAGATGATGTGGTATGTTTCATAGAAGACCCAGTAAACAGTATAAAGGTTTGGTTAAAAAAGATAGAAGAATTTGGTTCCCTGGCAGGATTTAAATTAAATAAGCAAAAAACAAAACTATTAGTTAAAAATTTGGATGAAAATGATAAAGACTTATTACAAAAAACAGCAGAGATTCAAATTGTCACTAAAGTAAAATATTTAGGAATAAATATCACTAAGAGCAACGGTGAATTAGTTAAAAACAATTACGAAACCTTATGGAAGAAAATACAAAAAGATATGGAAAAATGGAAGAATCAAAATATATCTTTTCTAGGCCGGATCGCAATAGTTAAAATGGTAATCTTACCACAACTMCTATTTTTATTCCAAACCATCCCGGTTATCAGAAATAACTTTTTGTTTAAAAGATGGAACTCAGATTTAATAAAATTTATCTGGGTGAAYAAGAARCCGAGAATTAGTATGAAAATTCTAATAGATGAAAAAAAAAGAGGYGGTTTGGGAATGCCCGACCTTAAAATTTACTATGAGGCTTGTAATTTAGCAGCAATTAAAGAATGGGCAACACTTAAAAACAACCATATCTTAGCATTGGAAGGTCACGATTTAAGAGCGGGGTGGCACAGYTATCTGTGGCACGACCGAAGAAAAATAGAAAAAGGCTTCAGTGATCATTTTATCAGGGCTGCRCTCATCAAAACATGGGAAAAATATAAAACTAGATTTTTCAGACATACCCCTCTTTGGATTTCGTTGGTGGAAGCAAAACATAAAAGAGAATTGGGAGAAGAAAATTGGCCAACTTACCATCAATTATTAAAGAGAAATGAAGAAGGGAAAATAATACTAAAATCTCACGAAGAACTTAAAAAGATAAACGAGAAAATAACGTGGTTAGCATACTTCCAAATTAGGGAGGGCTTCAGGAAGGATGAGAAATTAGGCTTTGAGCAGGAAAGGGGGACATGGGACATAGTAATGGAAAAAAGTAAAAAACTAATAAGAATACTATATAAACAACTATTAGTATGGAACACAGAAGAGGAACAAGTCAAAGAATGTCAAATAAAATGGGCGAAAGATTTAGGACACAGTATTATGATGAATCAGTGGGAAGAAATTTGGACCAGGAAAATTAAATATACTATTGCCAGTGATCTCAAGGAAAACTGGTACAAAATGTTCTTTCGATGGCATTACACGCCAGAGAAATTAGCAAAATTTAAAAAAAATAGTTCAGATAAATGCTGGAAATGCGGAAAAAAAGTAGGTACATACTTTCACCAATGGTGGGCTTGCGAAAAACTTAAAAAATACTGGAAGAAAATACACCAGGCAACTCAGAAAATATTGAAGATAAATTTCCCCCAGACACCAGAGACATACTTGTTAGGGATACTAAAAGAAACTAAAATGAATAAAAATCAAGAAAAAATTCTATTCTTGCTATGCACAGCCGCTAGAATAACCTTGGCAAAGAGATGGAAACTAAAAGAAGTACCATCACAAGAAGACTGGATCATAAAAGCCTTTGACATTATACAAATGGACAATTTGTCACAAAGAATTAACGAAACAAATAAAAAAACGGACTGGACAGGTTTTAAGGAATTTATTAAAACCAAAGAAATACCAGTTATGATAGACCTGACCTTTTTATAAACTAGATATTGATGGCAATGGAGGAAAATTGTCAGCATCAAGGAAAAGGAAAAGACAATTTTTTTTTTGGATATTACCGAAGGGTAAAGACTCTTGGAAGATCCTGGGAGGTCAACCACGGACTGAATCGGTGATGGGTTCCCCTCTCCTTCCACCCCCACCGCACCCATCACCACCCCCTATCCCATCACACCTCTTTTCCTGTCCCCTGGTTTGTTTGATGTATCACAAAATCAATAAAAATTATAATAAAAAAAATAAATAAATAAAAAGAAATAAATCATTCAGTTAAACATATTAAATCAGAATTTTTAAAAATTACCATCAATGCCATAATTTGTTGTGACAAATCAACAATATCTATTAAGAATTTATATTGCTAGAAGTATTAATTGTGAATATAGCACTTTTAACATACTGAATTACAGAAACCTGGATGTCTTATGTGAATGAAACCATCACCGGCACACATTATTAATGGGTCACCATATTCCTGGATTTAAACTAAAATCAGTTATTGCTCTTAAAGAGGAGCTTGGAAAAAACTGAACAAATACATGTGACATTGTTCATATAGTTTGGCCTAGTACTAATTTTAAAAATCACTAAATTTCCTAGGGAGATTCCAGCCAGATTCAAACATGGAATGGGTAGAGAGCATCCTTAACCATTTCTCTCTTCCACAGTTCTCGTTGAACTGGGATCCTTATGCCTGCTGTTAATAGTAAAAGGAAGGCATCTATACAGGATAGCAGCTGCCTTGAGGAAATACTGATCAGAACTGCAACTAGACAGATGATTCATGTCACTTGCCACATTATGACCTGAATCTAGCTCCCTTCCCTTCCCTTCCCTTCCCATGGAAGCAGTTTAAGTTTTTTAAATCTCATGCATGCCAGGCCAACACATGTGAATAATGTCACATAAGTCATCTGGATACTGTAGAGCTCCTTCAGTTCCCTGGAAAACAATTTTGAAAGTTCAATTACATTATTCTCTTTTCTGAATTTTTAAGTGCAAGAGAGCATAGATGATTGTCCCCAAGTGTAATCTTGTAGTTCTTTAAAAGGGGAAACTCTGAAATGTTATTTGCTTATCATAGCATTCTATCATCATTTAAAGAATATTATTTTCAAAATATGGCCAATTTTCATTTTGACAGCACAGCATCTGTTACTCCTTGTTCAGTAGTATATTGTTTTTTTAAGAAAAAGGAACAGAATTTCTCCTTTCACCTCTTTCTCACTCTAATATTTTTATGTAATTATAAATCTTCTGAAGCAGAATCATCCCTTTGTACCATTGTAGCAATGAAGTTTGTCATCATAGTTACTATGCAAAAGCAATCAACTAGATACAGCTCAAATTTGATTGTCCCATGATCATATTTAATAGAAATTGAAAACAATGTTTACCTCGTCTCCGTCCATAACTCCTGGCTGCGTGTAAATACAGAAAATAGAATAGGTATTGACATAATATCAGTTACAATATTTGCAGTTTTCTCAAAAACTCAGTTGTTGGATGGTGTCATTCAGGTGATTCAAACATTCATGGAAAAAGCATAAATGACACAGATCAATATACAAATTTGATCCTCTGAAGCCCCTTCATGACTAGGTTACCTGTTAATAAGTACTCATGATACAAGTAAGGTAAGCCATTAGGTAAACAGAGCCTTAAGCTAATCAAATTTTGTTTGAATCTTATGAAGCTCCCATCAAACTACCAAAAATAGCATCTCCTCCATTTTAGTGACACAGAAGATGCCTAAAACGGCTGGTTCTTATCACAGTAAGAACAGCAAATGGATTTGGTTTCCATTTTCTGATACTGTTGCCTTCAAGCAACAATAATCCCATTTGCATTTTCTCTATATATTCTTTTTCTATCATCATGAATTAAGATAAAGCAGCAGCTAAATGGCTGGGGGAGATTGTCAAAATGTGTGTTTTTATAGTTATTGAACTGGGTGTTATTTTAAACATAGAATGGCACAGGATTCAACCAGACAAACAATTCCTTTGCGAAAGCCAATATGCTGAACATTTCAGCCCCTGTGACAGTGAGTACTTTTGTAAGACAAATAATGAATAACTCATGTCAACTGGACAAAGAGTTTAATCAACTGTTTTTTCTCAGATGGTGGACTTTGAAGGCATTGTCACTGAAATAGATTTTTAAAGCCCCAAATGCCATTGAACTTCTCAGTCCCATCTAGTACATTTCCATAATAAACACTATAGGCAACCTAATCAAATTTAAGATCTTCTTTCTGCTGGGTTACAAAAATATAATCTGGAAAGGATGTAATAGGTCACCCTGTGCTAAAAAGCAGAGAAAAATAAGTAATTTTTGTATTAAGCATGTTACTTTATGTTGGTATCTTTTGAAATGAGTTGGATTGGGAAGCATCCACAATTATCAGATTGGGTTTAGGGTTATGTAAAAGTCAGTCTGCAACTGATTAATATCTTGATATAGTCCACCTATTATTTTAGAGGTATACCACATCAACAACAGGGTTTCCCAAGATAGTTGTGGCACATTCATAAAGGACGGCAGCAAAGGAATCGATGGCAGAGTTGGTACATTTAAGGATTTATGAATACACAGAATTGAAAAGCTCTATCAGTTGCTCCTTCACATCCAATTCCAATTCTTAACATTTGTTTCATGATGACCCTTATGTCAGTAGTTGGTCATGTTCACCCCAAATTAACAGCAAGGAATATATGGGGTAGCACAGACAAGGCCAATGAGGACTCCAAGACTGACTCTTCAGATAATGACTCCCTCAAATATCTGCAACAGATACTGACAATCAGGACTGGAAGAGCACAGATAAGAGCATTTGGGAAATTGAACCTATACCAAAGTTACTCATCCTAAATCATTCCAGAATTGTAGATCTTAGTCTGCTCAGTACTGATGTTGATGGTACTGATGTTTTGAGCTATGATGCTCGTGATGCTTTGAAGATGGTAGCCATAATCTACTTGGTACCAAAGTCGATGGTATAGAGCAGGGGTCCTCAAACCTTTTAAACAGTGGGCCAGGTAACAGTTCCTCAAACTGTTGGAGGGCCGGATTATAATTTTTTTTAAAAAAATGAATGAATTCCTATGCACACTGCAAATATCATATTTATAGTGCAAAAAACACTTGAAACAATAAAATAATTAAAATGAAGAACAATTTTAACAAATATAAACTTATTAGTATTTCAATGGGAAGTGTGGGCCTGCTTTTGACTGATGAGATATGATTGTTGTTGTTGTGTGCTTTCAAATCATTTCAGATTTAGGTTGACCCTGAGTGAGGGCCGGGTAAATGACCTTGGAGGGCTGTATCCAGCCTCCAGGCCTTAGTTTGGGGACCCCTGGTATAGAGACATATGATGCTGATCCCAGTATTTATAACAAGAATTGAATTTGTTAGTAGGTTATCAATATATCCTCAGTTGTGACCATTTTGCTGTATTATCAATTGCTCCCAGGTCTGTTGTGAATATGGTTGGCACCTGTTCTTCTTGCTTTCAACTCTACAAATGACTGAGAGAGTAGTATGACTAATGAGATTTTCAACCCTTCATGGTTGTTTTGTAAAACACTTGACATAAGCTGTGACTATCTGATGTCTACTGATCAGTTTTGAGCTGACCAGGCAACACATTGGGTTTTTCTGTACTGTTGTTGTAAAAATAATAGAGAATCAGAGGAATATACTACAGTCTGGCCAGCCCTAGAAGCATCACAGACTTTATTGAACTTGCGAAGGATTGAAGCTAAATAATAAGTCTATTCTAGATAGGAGTAACAGTTGAATTTAGCCCTCAATAAGGCTTCACGGTCCTAAGAATACCATTTCATTCTATTGATATTTTATATCTGCACTTTCAGGATAAGTAATAAATGTGGAAAAGGTTTTAAAGCCCAATATAAGAAAGGTTGGTATTAACACACAAGAAGTATGACTGTAATATTTCTGCTGTGCTGAACAGTTTGCTTAGTGAGCCAAAGATTTAACTGATTTTTGCCTAAAGAGAGAGATATTGATCTTTAAATTGATGGTCTGAAAAATGTTCAATATATCTAGGAGATGTTTGTTGAATTATTTTGAGATTGCTATTACCTTCTGTTCCATGTTGATATATGTTTGTATAGCTAAATTTAAATATGTGAAAGTAAAAACAGTTTTTGAAGCTGTTTAAATCTTGTCTTACATAAAGAATATGACTGCAAGTATTTTGGATCTAAACAGATATTTCATTTAAAATACACCAACGAACTGAAATTCTTTTGTTTGGACTATGTGAATATGATGATTCTCATAATGAGTGGGATTTGCATGCTGTCCAAATGATATTTCATACTAAGCTCCCTAGTCTTTGTTTACATTCCTCATGTGCAAACCTTAGTTCATTGGTTCAGAGATGCAAGCAAACTGAAGACTGATGGAGCCAGAAAGTAGCTAGGTAATTGAAGAAGCATAAACCAGGAAAGGGACATACACTAAGAGATGACTTGTTATGGATGTGGACCATAGTTTAGAAATAAATTACATATTTGAAACTGACCATTACCTTTTTGAAATTAGTTTGTTGTTGCATCTATATGCTTGAATAGAACGAGGAAACTAACCTGTAAGGAAACTAGTATTTTATAATGTGCGTATTTATTTTTGTACTTCAATCTCTTGGGGTGTGTCAAGGAGACTGTAAAGCTAAAGCAAAGCCTGCCATTTCTAAATATGAAACTAAATGCTTTCTACATTCAGATAATTGTTTCTTATTTTCTTAGAATTTATGACAGGATGAACTGGAATATGAAGGCAGTCATCATGTAGTTTCATAAATCACACCCACGAAAGAACTAGAAAATCAGGGCTTAAGTAAGTGACATTTCATTAGAATAGCTATAGAATGACTAAACACAAAATACCATAATATCATGTGTTAAACATTTTATGAAACAGAAAAAATACAAATGCTAGTTAAAATTAATATCATTCAATTAAATACTATTAAATATATTTTTCACCTCATCCCCCAGTGTACACTACAACAGAAATAAAATAGATGCAGGAATCTGGAGAGGTAATTTCATAGTAAACTTTAAAATTCTGTGTCTAAATCAATCACTTTGATTTTAATTAATTTGCTAAGAAAATCAACACTGTTAATTAATGATTCTAGAAAGGTGTGCCTGCGGACTCAGACATACCATCTATCACAGCATACAATTCTGCAGGGCGATTTTTAAAATAACTCCTATGTTAGACACTAGGGAACATTTTGGTATAAGTCTGTACAAAAGATTCAGATGTACCAAAACAGTGTGTGTGTGTGTGTGTGTGTGTGTGTGTGTGTGTGTGTGTGCAGGCGTGCAGAGCAGAGCAGTTTTTAAAGTCAACTCCGGGATAATACTAGCAGGAGTCATATAGTATATAATTCAGGATGATTCATCTGAGGAAATTGAGGATAAAAATGTTTGATTGTATAAAAGGGGACTAGGCAGAATTAGACAATGAAAAAATAGTAGCAGCCAAGAGCCAAAGCGGCTAATGGATCATAGAGAAACATGTGCATGTCCAGAGACATTTGAAAAAGAACACAGCAAATAAGATGTTTATATGCTAGTGCTAGACACTCTCCAATCTGTGTATAAAAATAACATGTGCATTATTATAAACTTAAAATGATTTAGAAGACTCAGGACTGACTACATACAAAACTGACATTGACTGAAAATACAGTGATTCATCCATCCTAATTGGGAGTGATGTTTTCTAAGTGATCATAAATGACCTAAAATTAGGGGTGGGTGGCCAGATTTCCTGCCAACTACCAAATTATTCAGCATTTAAAAACAAACAAACAAAAGAAGGATTACAAACAGCTCAAAGAAATCTCTCTAAACCAGGCAAATGGGCACTGTAATAGCAAGAGTACATTAAAGCTTGTACAGTTATGTACATTAGTATAAAATATTCTATTTTCTTGATCTACTCAAATTTGCATGTTTTTGAACTGCTACGTTGGTAGACAGCAGGCAAACAGCGGGAGCTCACCCCGCTCCCTGGATTCGAACCTGTGACCTTTCGGTCAGCAAGTTCAGCAGCTCAGCTGTTTAACTCACTGCGCCACTGGGGGCTCCTAAAATCTCATAAAAGAGGTAATTCTTCTCATAGATCATGTTTCTTTTCAAATTTTATTTACTTATTTATATGCCACCTTTATCTTATAATTGGACCCAAGGAGACTCACAGAAAAAAAATAGTTAAAGCAATACAATTGTTACCTCCTGTTCCACTGATCGGGGCACCTCTGTCTCTTCTCAGTTTCAATATGTTTTCACCCACCCAGTCCATTACTGACAACATACATTGTTTCAGTACTGAGATAGCTTTCTTAGAATTAGATAGAAAAGAGCCATAG